TGATGGGTACCCCGATGCGGCTGTGGAGGCAGGGATTTGGGACAGGGTGGAGGAGAGAAACAAAGGTACTAGTCAGGAGTTCGAGGCAAAAACTGCAGACAGCAGTAAAGAGAAAAATAAACCAACACAGCACTACAAAGAACGATTGCCTATTAATGATTTTCACTGCTTTGTACTTTAATCTATGCAAAAATAGTTCAAATACTGGACAACAGTTAAAAATTTCACGCACCAGCGCATGAAAACTGAATTCGAAACCTTGAAGGGCAATATCTTTCCGTGATTCCCGAATTAACAGTTTACTCGTTAAAATTTTCACAAGGCCGTAGGTGATACTCAAGAGCGCGGGAACGCTGAATTTGAATAGGCAAGGCTGAGCGTAGGCAGGGGGTCATTACTCTAAAATTTCAGCCTCCTAGACCCCGTGGTTCCCGAGATATTAATTTACCCGTAGAAAACTTTCAGGGGCCGTACGTGTTAACCGCGGGTACGAGAAGGCTGTATTTGAATGGGCAAGGTTGAGTGTAGGCAGGGGGTCATTATCCTAAAATTTCAGCCTCCTAGACTCCGTGGTTCCCGAGATATTAATTTACCTGCAAAAAACTTTCACGGGGCCGCACGTGTTACCCGCAGGTACGGGAAGGCTGAATTTAAATTTGCCGCGTCACCCGCTGGCGGGGAACACTATACCAAAATTTCAGCCGCTTAGCTTTTGTGGTTCCCGAGTCGAAAGTGCGGTACAAAATGTGGGACACACACACACACAAGCACACACACAGGCAACCCCGTGACAATATGCGTCTTGTAACGCTGTTACACAGCACAAAACGCATAAAAAGTGAAATTAAAGAATTGGAGCCCGTGAACGAAAAAGAAAAAAGTGAAAGCAAACAAAAACTGAGCTTATGCGAGTGGGAATTGTCATACAAAAGCCCCTCTTCACTAAGCGATTTCCGTATTTATGAAGCTTATGTTTTGGTGAAGTTGAGGGCAAATAAGTTCTATTGCATTTACATTAAATTTGTACACAATGCCGGTGTGTTGCCTCCGGCAGCCTGCAGCTGTGCAAAACAGTTACAACTCTGTTTTTTCCATTCAAAACCTCACAGAAGCAAAGGCTGACTTCATCCCGATGCATCCAGTCTACCTTGTTTTTGCTTACTCATATCCTATAACAAAAATATTCGCCCATAACTTTAACGAAGCATCAGCTCCATTAATAGAGAAGTGCTTAGGGTTTCCATGGAACAATTTCTACTAGCAAAACCTCGGTTTCTTTTGCTTTTATTCACAGAATCAGATTTGCTATAATTTACTTTTATTTGTGGCGCTGTGTTATCTTTTTCTTTTTATTGCTGTCTCCAATTCTTGCTTCAAGCTCCTGACTTGTACCCTTGTTTCCATTCTCTATTTTGTCCCCAAATCCTACTTGCAAAGGAAAATTTGGGTCGCTTTCCATTCCCACTGTAAGAGCACTGTGCAAGCAAGCAGTATTTCATCTTACCCTACTCTAGGTATCTATGGTAAACCCAGGCTGGAACGCACTGGGCGGGCCCGTGCGATCATACGTTTTTGCACCGGACTTGAAGCACTCAGGTTGTTAACTGCATGAATAGCTGTTGCTTTACACCTACCTTTTGCGATCACTAGCATAAATCACCATAAATTTTGCAAAGTAAGTTTACAATTTCCATTTAACAGTCGCTCTTTAAAAGCAACCTAGCTGTTCAGTGAGAAATTTTTCCGCCAAAACTTAAAGTGCCCGTACGAAGGAACCACGCATACCTCAAGCTGAATCTGAAATACTTAAGTTGTACTTGGACAGTGAACATTCCCTCAAAATTTCAGCTTTCCAGCTTTTCTGGTTACCGAGTTGCCAAAACCTTCACATACCCATACGTGGGTACTCCATGTGCCTGGAAAGTTGAATTTGAAACTTTTAAATTACACGTGGACAGGGAACATTCCATTAAAATTTCAGCCTTCCAGCTCTTCTGGTTGTCGAGTTAGTAATTTTCCTGCAGAAATTTTTATACGCCCTTACGTGAATACCATGCATAGTTTGGAGCTGAATTTGAAATATTTGAATTGTACTAAGATAGGGGACATTCCCCCAAAATTTTAGCTTTCTAGCTTTCCTGATACCCGAATTAGCAATCTTCTCCCTAAAACTTTCATACGCTCTTATGTGAGTACCACGCATAACTGGGGGCTGAATTTGAAACCTTTAGCTAGTACATGCAGGGAATATTTCTACAAAGTTTCAGCCCCTTAGATTGTGTGGTTCCCGAGATCGCTTTCCCGTTAAAAAATTTGCATATTTTTTTAAAGCGTCCGTACGCGGCACCCAGGCGTCCGCGGGGATGAAATTCAAACGGGAGGGTCGAGCATGGTATGAGCACACACTCCCAGAGTTTCAGCCTTCTAGCTTTTCTAGTTCTCAAGTCGAAAGTGGGTGACAAAAACTGCGAACACACACACAGGCAGCCTCTCCCCAATATGCGTTTTTGCAATTTGCATACACGCAAAAATGCATAAAAACAGGAGCACACTTCCTCATGTCCATTTATAACTCCCGTCTGCTCCCGATGTCCGCGACCTAGCCAACCTACAACGAGTCTACGCCACTTAGTCCTTAGATGCATCTGTCCCATCCCCCTTCCTTGCCTCGAACGAAACCCGCAACATACCATCCCTCGTTCCATCTACCGCATTCAAACTCCCGCCATCCGCCGTGGGGTACCCTTATCACGCGCCAGGAAAAAAATTTTTTGCAGGTCGTGTATAAAACCGGCCCAATCGACCCGCGCCAATTTATTGTATTTGCTTGTGCGTGTGCATGTGGTCGGTTGTAGAGTGGTCCGGGCAAGGGTGGCGGGAGTAGCGAGGATGGCTGAGCTGCCTGTTGCCTCATTAAAGAGGGCACTTCTGTCTAAAATTAACGTCAGCATTGCCAGCTGCTCTGACCGGTGCTGGAATGCGTGGATGGATGATGGGTCCGCTTTCTTTCCACTCTTCTGCTGCATGAGCTGCCGATCTCGGCGCTTTCACCGCCTCCGGATGTCGTTTCGCTGCGCCCGAGGATTTGACTAGACGAGGATTTGAGGATTTTGGTCTCAAACTTTGGCGGGTCCTTATGTGGGTACCACGCAGGAAAGGCCGCCGATTTTGGGGGTAGGGGGCCGTACGTGCACGTAGATTAAGTCCCCAAAGCTTCAGCCCTGTAGCTTTTGTAGGTCTTGAGATGAAAAATCGGTACAGAGGTGCAGCGCACACACAGACATACACACACCCGCACACACAGACAACCTCTCGTCAATATGCGTTTTCCGCATTGCATAGCTGCAAAAAACGCATAAAAAAGCATCGACGGTGAGTGTTTTGAGGATGTCATTGGGCATCGGTGTATATGAGCAACCGCAGAATCAATTCGTTGTTGATCCGGGCGCCATTTCAAGCGAGGAGATCGGTGTCGGTGGAATTGCGAGCGACCGGGTCTCTCCTTATCAGACTGAGAATGAGTGCCACCCTCACCAGGTAAGCGAAGTTGTCGACGCGGTTGATGCCTGTTTGGTGGCAACAGTCGGCATTCGCTGCTCTGACGTCGCTGGCCTCGACACTGCAGAGATGGTTGCTGATTGAAGAGCATTGCTGACGTGGTGTATTAGCTTTCTCGCCGGCGATTTTGCATATACGCACTTTTTGAGGAGCGGATGCACGTGGTCGTTGCAAGTCGGCACACTGTGTTGCTTTCGCTCGTCACTGTTTCTGATCCCAATCCGTCACGAGAGCTACTACTAATCAGCGAGGAAGGGAGTTGGCTGGGCAGCTGACGTATTTTTCTGCCTAAACTGACTGCTGGTATGCGCAGTGTCGTATCACCCATCCATCTCTATCTTCTGTTTCTCGATGCGGGAAGGCATTGGCGTAGAAATGAGTTTTCAATGCTACGGGCCGTGTTAGATTAAGGGGATTGACGGGGGCTATGTGAAAGTTATCAAGGGATTCACTTGACATAGTATCTTGAAACACAAATCTGGGGGGCAGCAGTAATAAACAGTTTACGCTTTGTGGACAGCTTAGCTCTCATCGCAAGCGACCTGGAGATGCTGCAGGAGCCTAACGCTTGAAGTAAGGTAGGGGGGTCGGGAAATCAACGTTTTAATTTCCCGGCCCGCTACCTTACTTCAGGCGTTAGGCTCGTGCAGCATCTCATTTTAAAAATTTAGAAGGCCAGTGTACTCGCAGTCAGGTTGCATTTAAATGATATTAACTTGGAAGTCCACCACTGTCTGTCTGAGTGCCACAGTTGCCGGTGCCAGTTCGTGCAAATGGTAAAGCATCGTCGGCACCGTGTCCTTATTACGAGTATGTTGAAGGCAAACGTGTGCTGATGCAATACGAATTCGCTGGGCAAAGCAGAAGAGCGAACCTTGGCTATGATGGCGAGGGCACTGGAGCGGAGGATATGTGCCCTCGTGGCTTGAACTTGAAGCATCGGGGTATCGGTACATGGCGGAAATAAATTCCTGCGGATTTTTTGTCATGTCCTTTCACATTTGTTGGATACTTGGTTCTGCTGTTATTTTTGAGACACTCCGCTCCTTTCAACTTCTTTCGCATTAATGTTTGGCTTTATAGAAGTAAGTGGTTTTATGCTCAGTCTGTTTTCTCAGTTTGTGATAAGAACTCTGCCGTTTGTGTTACTCGAAGTCTTCTGCTATCTCGGCATTTGTTCTCGATCAAAGACGGAGACAGCGAGTTACAGCGAACATTAAGAGTGGCTGGGCTGTCGATGACGAATTCAGCGGCGGAATCGAGCCTCTTTATAAACTTCCTGCTCTCCCAGTTATGGTGCAAGTTTTCACCTGTTAGGGTGCTACTCACTAGGCGGGAGCACCTTGAATTTTTGAAAAAATAAATAGTACATGGATCTATTGCACTCGGTAATGTTTTAGGAATCCGCAGCTGTAAATATTGCTTCTGGCGCAGAGGCTCTGATGAAAATCGGGAAACGTCGGTCGGAATACGTGTCCAGTGATGCCGCAGGGCAGTATGTTCAGGAAGATGGTTGCAGTGTTCCGAAAATGACTCGGAACGATGACTCTGTGGAGAGTTCGGAGCATCTGATATCTGTGCGAGATGATGTTGTGTATCACAGTTCCGGTATGTTTTCCTGGCAAGTTTAAGGCCACTGGGGAAGTTGCATCATTGTTTGCTTTTTGTAAGGTAATTGATCACTGATTGTGCTGCGGAGCATTAGTTTGGTGGTATTGAGTTTTGTGACGTATGCTGAAGGCAGTTTTGCGGTAGAGGAATATTTGCAGGGGCTGAGGTAGTTGTGAGGAACGAGAATGGCGAAGAGCAGACACTGAGTGATATCTCGCGCTGCGCTCCTCCTGGCATTGCTTACGAAAGGCCGCAATCTGCAATCCATTCAGACCACTGTAAAGTGCATCAGCAGCACTGCAGTGTGCAGCCGCAGTGCTGCGACGTTCAAGAGCTGCCTCTCTCGAATGGTCCAGTAAGTTTCCTGGTCTATTGCTTCTGTTGGCTGTTATGCGGTTTGGAACTGTTCGTTTTGTCTTCTCAATTGTTTTAAGCGACGGGTTTGAGTACCACTCCTGCCGCTGCAGCATTTCCTGGGGGAAGCAGTCAGCTTGTTCTTTGCATCGCTATTTCAGACTGATCGATCGTCGAGCTCTTTGGAAATAAAAAGTGATGTCAAAAATGAGACGTGCTGTACTAAAGATGCACCTGGTCTGCTAACAGATTTGAATAATGCACTGAATCCTAGCGACGCAGAATTTTTTGACCCTTATCGTTCAAAGGGACGTCCACGAGGTGAATTTTGTTTTATCGATTAAATCTGTGAAAAAAGAGCACTCGCTCCTGTGTTCACGGAGATAGTGCTTAAATAACAGCAGGAGCTAGCCAATTAGTTTGTCAGTGGTTAGTTTGTCCGGAAAACCAAACTAAAAGTAGATTTTAGTTCTGGAAGCATTGGCATTCTGTCAGCGAATCGTTTAAGCATTAGGCTTCGAAACATGCACGTTCTGCTAAGACGGTAGTCTGGAGAGGGTGCAACAAATCACTGCGGTTTCGCACTACCGAGAGTAGGTTAGTCATATCCATTATTTAGTAATGCGGGCTTCATCTTTACAGGTAATGTTGCTAAAAAAAATAAATGGCAGCGTTCACCAGAATAGCCGGTGCGATTATGCGTTTTGTGCAGTTTTGCCTACCGAACGAGTGTCCGTTAATGATTTTCACTGCTTTTTACTTTAGTCCGTGCAAAAATAGTTAAAACATGGAAAATAGTTAAAAATTTCACACACCGGCAAGTGAAAGCTAAATGTGAAATGTCGAATGGTAAATATCCTTCCAATATTTCTTCCTCCTGATTTCCTAAATTTCGACTGATTTTTGAGACAAAACTTTACATGTTCGTACGTGAGACCTCGGGTACTTAGGAGCGAACTCGAATTTGGGAAGTCCATGCTTGGGCAGGAAACATTTTCCGGTAATTTCCAGCCTCTTAACTCTTCTGGCTATCGAGGTAATGATTGTTCTTGCTAAAGTTTCAGCTTCCCAGCTTTTGCAGTTCACGAGACAATTTCTCTGCCAAAACTTTCACAGGGCCGTGCGTGGTACCCAGGGAGGCGTGAAGGCTGAATCCTTATTTACGGGGGATTGTACATTGATAGGGGACATCGCCTTAAAATTCCAGACTCCCAACTTTCGTGGTTCCCGAGATAGTTGTTGAACGCACCTCACCTAGCGATGACGAATCACGCCCTGACGAGAATCCTCGCGGCCCGCTTACACTCCCCTGATGCTGTTTCTTCTCAGTTGAACCTCACTGGGACACCGATAACGCGATGAAGGCTTTGTTGACACACTGACGAACAATAGAAAGAAGGGCGAATGAATTCCTGATCACACACATTTATATACAAGATTTTAGCGCGTAGAAATCAACAATGATCACCGGGAAATGGCAGATCACCAAGTCAAACAACCTTCCCGAAACTATTTGCCAAATCCACGCGCCATCAGGTTTTCCGCTTTGTCAGGCGTAATAATTTCCCGCCGAAACTTTTACGGGACTGTAGATGGTACTTGGGGGCGCGGGGACGCTGAGTTTGAATTTACAAGGTCGTATGTGGGCAGGGGGACATTATCGTAAAATTTCAGCTTCGTGAATTTTTTGATCCCCGAGATAACTTATCCGTCAGAATTTTCACGGGGCTGTAGGTGATACCCAAGAGCTGAGAATTTGCAAAATCGTGCATGGGCAGGAATCATTACTCTAAAATTTCAGCTTCTTAGATTGTGTAGTTTCCGAGATAATAATTAACCCGTGAAAATTTCCACGGAGCCGTTCATGTTACCCGTGGGCAAGAGAAGGCTGAATTTAAATTTTCTGGGTCACATTTAGGTGGAGAAAGTTGCCCTAAATTTTCAGCTTCCTAGCTTTTGTGGTTTCCGAATTGAAGGTTGCGAACAAGTTACTGCGGACACACATGTACACAAACAATCTCGTGACAATATGCGTTTTTTATTGCTGTTGCGCAACACAAAACGCATCACAAGTGAACAGCGCACTGACTGCCAGTGCGAAGATGCGTTTTTTGCGTAGTTCCCCGCAGGTTTTTGTCACTAATGACACTGTTTTTTCCGATACATTCTTCTAGCTAAAAGAATTGAGACTGGCCGCCAGGAGTGTCAGGAAGCAACCCTTAAAAATTCAGCATTCTAGCTTTCCTCGTTCCCAAGCTAGCAACATACCCGCAAAAAATTTTACGGGCCCCTGCTGGGGAACCATGTGGGTAGGAGCGCCCATTTTGGGGGTGGTGGCCCATACGTGCACGTAAAGTTCCCAAAGTTTCAGCCCTATAGCTTTTGTTGGTCTCGGGATGAAAAATCGGTACAGACGAACACACAGACACACACACACACACACATGGACAGACCCTTCTCAGTATGCGTTTTTTGCATTGCATAGATGCAAAAAACGCATAAAAGCTGTTATTACAATAGTCCTTAGCTTTTGATTACGCATTTAACATTGCACATGTTTCCGTCGTGAAGCTGGTTTGGCCGAAAAACGGAGTTTTTTGTGGAGAATGTCAAATCTCAAGTACTGTTTTTTCTTTACAAGAACTGCATCTCCCCACCACTGTACGTTACTAAAACTTGTGCTTTATCATTTTTGGCTGACGTTGTCGTTGCAGGTCCGAAACATCCAGTGTGGAACTTCTACAAATTCTGCAAGTCTGGTGGAGTGACGTTGGGCTATATGTGCCTTTTGTGCAATAGCGGCTTTACTGGTCCCCCAAACACAACCAATGCCACGAAGCATCTTCGTTGCAAACACAAGCATGAGCATTTACTGTTTTCTGACTTGCTGGAGGGCGTGAAACGTGGAACAGTTCTTGGCGACGTTCATCAGTCTGTTCGTGAGGTATCTTTTTTGTGCTCAATGAACCAGTTCAAATATCCGGAAGTACACCTGTTGCTCGTGTGTCATGCATAGACCTTGCTGTTTTTTGCGACTGTCGTAGGTTAGCCTGTGTTGCAGCAGTTAGTGCAGCACTGCTCAGTGGCATCCATAATTGCATGAAGCACTTGTTAGTATCTAGGCATTTTGAGTGTTGATGTAGAACTGCGACTTTGTCGCTAAGGTTGAATGATCAGGTATAATTTTTTTCTCGACGCGATTCTGATCTATCACTGACTATGAGAATCTTTAGCTTGTTCTGAAGAGAGAACTTAAAGCCGAGACACTTGGCTCAGAAGAAAACGCCAGTGAAGCTGCGCATTCAGGATACGGAGCTGCTGACGTCAGCGATGGTCAGCTGTTTATATTTGTACTTATTTCTTAACATGGATTATTTTTCAAATAGCCAATGATTTTCGTCTGCGATGTTTGAAGATTCTTGATTGAAGATTGGCACTGATCGTGTCAGGCCGGCTGCTGTTGTGTTTTAGCGTCTAGGGCTGCAAAAGTTTATCTTTGGGCTGCAGGCACTCTGAGGACATCAGCAGTTCATGACAATAAATGACTGGTTTCCAGGTGTGCGTCGAGAGCATGAATGGGTGGAAGACGCTGCGGGTAGTCCCCAGGATTCCCAGTTCCACTCTTTTAATTCTTCTTCGTTTAATTGCAGTGTGAGTTCTATTGTGCTTATTAATGCTTGCTAATTTCCATCACATTCTCAGATTCCGAATGCATAACAGCACTTTTTGTAAGTTTATTTTTTATGATTAAGCGAAAACGAAAGTCGATTGAAGACATTATAGTAGCAGTTTGAGCATTTTTTCGGAAAATTATTTCACTGTCTAAGTACAAATGAAATTTTTCAGTCGAAGAGCTGCTCGCTTATTCGATATGATATGGGTAATAATAGAAGTGGTAATGCCGAAGTTTCCTCATCCGCAGAAGTGGTTTTCGTCGGCTCACCCACCGGGTAAAATAGTATTTTTTAGAACACTGAAACAAGTGCATTATTTCTCAGGCAGTCTTCCCCGCCTTCTTTGTTCGGTTATTACAACAGGAGACTGTTGATTTGCAAAGTCTCGCATAGTGGCATTCAGCTACCCGCAGCGAACAATATCACGAAAAATAGCGAGTGAACATTTTCGAGTGATCAATTGCACCCATTTTACAAGCAGCCTTCAAAGGAGAGACAGCCACTGACAGCCTGCCAGCCGGTGGTTGTTGTTGTCAGTTGGTACTGCTCGGACTGCTTCTTGAGTGTCTCCGTCACTCGTGGAGAGAGAGAGAGGAGAGATCCTGACTTTAGCACTCGTTAACTTCATCGAGATGTGGTGAAAAAATGTCACGGCCCGAATTAAATGGTGACTGATGACTTAATATTGCTTCATTCAAGCGACCGGAGTGCTGTCAGCATCTTAATGATCATGTAAAGAGAACATCAGTATTGGAAAGTGGGATTCGATTCTCTTCACATCAAAAATCAATAAGAAGCTGAGAAATGTTGGACATTAGTATTTTACTAACTGGTATTGAGAGTGGTCCGCCTAGGAACAAATTCAAGTGTATGTCCTATTCGCATGCTAGGAAAGTTCACTGGACACAGGGGTACCCCGAAAGCAGCACTGTGAAACAGCGCGCCAAATTTCACATCGACTAGGGATTCTTATGAGGAAATCCTTCAGATGCAAAAGGAAGTACTTGAAGTTGTGAATTACTACATCATGAGTGGAAGTGGTCAAACTCGTCACCAGTTTGTTTCTAAGCAGTCCTCAGAAGAGTAACCCATCGGCAGCCCTGCCAGCGGGTGGTTGCTGTTGGCATTTGCTATTACTGGGGTCACTTCCCCTAGTACTTCCGTCTCTCACTGAGAGTGAAATTCGGAGGGGGTTCCGACTTTTGACTTTGAGTGAAAATAGGTGCCGGTCTATTGCTGCATTCTGATCAGGAATGGAATAACAAAAACAGGCTTCACATTGGGAAACCGATTTTTTATGTGAAGAAAAATTGACTGCCGCAATTGATAGATTTCTAAATTTGCGGCGTAAAACACAGGCGGCAAAATACCTTAACTGGAACTTTTACATTCATTTGATTCCATCATACAGTTTGCAAAACACGTGATATATTTCGTGGTGAAAAATGCAAGCCCTGTTAAGGCTCCACAATTGAGAAGTTTGAGGATCAGTGGAACAGATGAGCAAATAAATGTTCTGATAATTTTTGGGAACAGTGGCAGTGAGAATATTCGCTTAGCTGACAAACAAATCATCGCCTGAGAAAAAATCTCATAAAAAGGGAGGCAAAACTGGATAAAATGGTAACTGTTAAGAAGAACAGTCGAGGGGAATCCAGGCATTAAGAATCATTAACGAAGTCAAAAAAAAGGCGAGAAGGACGATCAGAAGGGCAATAGTATTTTTATCATGCGGCAGCAAGGAGGTAAGACTAACAGGCCTATTAATTTCACCGTAATTTTATTTGCTACGACACATCGATACTAGCAACATTTCGCACGAATATTACTTAAAACGTAGGTGGGAATCTTTTTTGTTTTTCATGATTACTGTCAGCTAGCCAACCAAACAGTGATTTCTGAGATATCGTCTAGGCTCTGCATGCCAGGTACTGGTGAAAAGGAAGCGGGAAATGAAGAAGTTTTGTAGATTTTGCTCAATCCATGAGAAGCACAAAAGACCGGTATCATCTCACAGTAGACCTGGTCGCAAGCGAAGGGAAAGTCCCGTTCTGCGATGCGATGCGCATGATCCGCGTTCGTGATAGGCTTTTTCGTGAAATGTGCAGAATGTGAATAGGCTTCTGCGTATGAGCGCAAAAGCGCATGCCGAATGTATCCCATATTGCAAAAACGCGTTTGCACTACATGAATACTTTACAGTTTCATTGCTTGACATCCATATCCATCAGAAGTTTGCAGGGATCCCGAAGCCGTTCCATCTGACACAGCCAGTCACGTTAGCAGCCAGTTTGCGGGGCAGGTCGAGTCTTTTCTGCGTGACTACCGACGACTTGAAGCAGAGGTGTGTCCAGTTTTCTGTCTGGATGAGTCGAGTTCATCACAATTATTTTGTCGCTTAAGACTTTGACGAGTTTGATGCAGCAGCAAACAGCGGTGTTGTGAAGCTGAGTTGATGGTTTGACATTGTCAGTCAGGAACTCTTCTCTGTACGATTCGCTGGTTGACCTGTCCCAGTGATAAACTGGAGCCAGTACATGCTATGAATTTGAATTTCAAGCGTTTCGCTTCTGTCTGTCCCAGAAAGGGAAGGCCATCGACTACTATATCGCCGAGTGATTGCACTTGGCAAATTTCTGCCATCTGAACTACTTCCGAATGCTTTCGTCTCTTAGAAGAATATGAAGTGACTTGTGACTTCACCATTTCTGACAATGTAGGAGGAATTTTTCTTGGATTATAAGGTTTGATTTTATATGCTTTGTCAATCTTCGTAGTGCTTGGAATGCTTAGGCATGTATCCTATCAGATTCTTTTTTTTTTTAACTAAACGTTTGGAACGACTCATGAACATTAACTTATTTGTTCCATACTTCTGCAACTCCAGTGGCTATTCGTACAGTAAGACGTAAAGCATTGAGGTCGCTTACTATACACCAGCAAAAGATTTTGACGGTGAAATTCATGAAATTTATTTATTATTGATAGATCGCCGCTATTTAGTCACCTACGAGCAGTGAGTTGCTGTGCAGTCATTTACCAACTTTTTGTTTTCAGTATCGAAGAGTGCGGGCCGAACTCGCTACAAAGGATGAGCTTATCAGAACACTACGTCTAAATGTTCTGGAAGAACGCAATAAGCGGAAAAACGCCCTCGCATTAGTACAACGCGCTTTACTTGACGAATAAGTTTGTACGCTCCTGGAATTTAGTTCTCTTTTCCCTCCCTCTCTTCGTTTCCCCCTTTTGCTTATTGATAAAAAGCGATGTTTATTGTTTGCTAAACGTAATTTATCAAATTTCTGGCCATAACTTACGCACTGCAACTCGACAAGATGACGGTATTTTTCCACTGGCGCAAGGCAGCCGGCGGCTTTTCTGTTTGTTGATTTGTTTCGATAGAAAGTTGCTGCTGCAAGCCTAATTTTACAGTCACTTCCAATTTATCTTTAATGCGCATCTTTAGAGGAGAAAATTTTGCTGCACGTTGTTAAAAATGATATAATGCGAGTCGCAAATGAGTGTTTTTGCAGTTTCGACAAGCTTTTTGGAAAAAACCCAAGGTGGAACGCACCAAGCGGGCCGGTGCAATTATGCGTTTTTGCACTTTTCGTATCGTAGCAAGATTGCAAAGAATCACAAGAGCTAACCCTGTGACATACTGGCCCTCGAAACTCAGGAAGTTAATTGTGCAACTGTGTTGTATGTCATTTATAGATGTCGACTCCATTGACCCGACAAATGGAAAGTTGCTGGCCCGCAAAAAAGGCCGCACTAGAGCAGTTAAATTTGAAATCTTTTGGTCACACACGAGTAGGAAACATTACCCTAAAGTTTCGGCTTTCTAGCTTTTTTCGTTCCCGGGTTAGTAATTTTCGCGCCAAAATTTCCGCGTACCTGTGCGTTGGCCCCGGGTACTTCTAAGCACCTGTTTTTGGTCGTACATGAGTAGGAAACATTCTCTGGAAGTTTCAGCTTTCTTGCTTTTCTCGTTCCTGGTTTAGTAATTTTCGCACCAAAATTTCCACGAGCTCGTACATGGGCTCGGGCGCTTCTAAACACCTGATTTTGCTCGTATGTGACTGGGGAACATTCCCCTAAAGTTTCAGCCTTCTGGCTTTTCTCCTTCCTCGGGTTCGTAATTTTCGCACCATAATTCTCACGTGCTCGTACGTAAGCCCCGGGCTGTCCTGGGCAGCTGAATTTGGAATCTTTTTGTCATACACGGGCAGGAAACATTCCCACAAGTTTCAGCTCTCCAGCTTTTTCCGTTTCCGGGTTAGTAATTTTCGCGCCGAAATTTTCACGTATCCGTGCGTGAGCTTCGAGCGGTCCTAAAGAGCTGAGTTTGAAAACTTTTGGTCATGGGCGAGTAGGGAGCGTTTCCTCAAAGTTTTAACTTTCTAGCCTTTTTCATTCTCGAGTTATGAATTTTCCCACCATAATTTTCACGTACTCGTACATAAGCCCTGGGCAGATGAATTTGAAGTCTTTTTGTCGCACACGGGGGAGGACATTCCCATCTTTGCTTTTCTCGTTCCCGAGTTATTAGTTTTCCCGCCAAAACTTTCACGTACTTGTACGCGGGGTCCAAACGTGCGTAAGAAAGTTTCAAAGCTTGTGTGGTTGGCGAGTTGAAATACCCGGGCAGACGAATACAAACACACACACACACACTGACAGGGTCGTTT